AGGGGCGATTTCAGCCTAACTGTCCAGAATGAAGGCTGTTTACAACTTAAATATAGCCTACTACTGTTATGAATATAATTTTAAATTTAGAAGAGTACATCACCACATTCATGGTGACTATTTACAACTGATAAATGACAAAAAAACATTCACAAAGTCCATTCTGTTTTAAAGACCTTGTATATTTAAAGCAACATAAATACAACAACAGACATGTAGGCCTGAGACATGTAGGTAAAATTGTTTGATTTTATACATTAATTGAATAAATTTTTAATTGCCCGACAGTCTTCTATAATATAATCATCATTCAAGGTGTGACTGTGAACTGGCTTTATATAAATCGCCCCTTACTATCACTTGTAACAGTAATTAGACATTAAAACTGAAATAGGAATTCATGATGTCCATTGAGGATAGACAACTGTAGCCTAATTAACTAAAACATTACTGTTAACGGACCCTTAAATTTAAGCTGGTGTTCATTCATTCATTTTCTTTTTGGCTTACTCCCTTGATTAATCAGGGGTCGCCACAGCGGAATAAACTGCCAATTTATCCAGCATATGTTACACAGCGGATACCCTTCCTGCGGCAACCCATCACTGGTAAACACCAATACACTCTCAATCACACACATACACCCATGCAAACACAGGGAGAACATGCAAACTCCACACAGAAATGCCATCTGACCCAGTCGAGACTCGAACCAGCGACCTTCTTGCTGTGAGGTGACAGTGCTACCCACTGCATTGCCCAAGCTGATGTTTGTATACTTAAATTTATCAGATGATGAATGAATCAAATTATGCAACAAGACTGAAGCTGAAGCCAGAGAAACTAAATCATAGCTTCCAGTGATTCTTTAACTAATTTAATTTTAATTAAAAGAGACTGGTCAAATGGCCTCACACCTTTTGAACTGCTTTTTATCATGGCAATTACCTTCGACTTGGGGAGAGGTTTAGACATGCTGCTCATGTGTGAGGTAGACACGACGAGCTCTTTGCAGATGCAGTTATTTTTATGAGATTTAGAAAAAAAGATGAACCCGTTCTCTGACACGATTCTGCAAGTGCACACAGTTTTTCCTGAAAGCTTTGAACATTTAAGACCATAGAGTGCCTGCCAAGGCTGAAACACTCTATAAAACATGTTTGCATTATGTTACAACTGAGAAGTTAACTTGAATATGCCAAGTAAACATACCACTGCTTGTTTCTATTTGACATTTAAAGCTTTTCAGTTCTGTTTTAACTGAGAAAACAACTTCAATTAGCTAGTCATTCACATAAGGATGGGTTTGGGTACAACATGATCTTATGCACTGAAAACGTTACCCTTTAATAAAAGATATTACAGCTTTCAGCATGTAATTACAAGATTAAAACAAAAGAACTGTGAGTTGCTGTCAAGTAAGCAATTGTGCGGTTTGTGTAGTCCTGTTAACACCTCACCCACACAGTTGCTTACAAACAATGGAATAAAAGAAAAAAAATTAAAACGAAAGAAAATAATACAGTGAGTCAGTTTAAAAGATGACCTAAAATTAGTTTATTTGTTTTTTGGTACAAGTTCAAAACTCATTGGTGCGTACGAGAGAAACATTAACATACAAATCACTGACTGAAGAGGAAAAACACCCCTAACCATTCAGGAAATGTCAAGGCAAACTGACAAGATAATGGGACTACTGTTTTTGAAGACTGCAGGATGCAGGCGGCAGGAATATTTTGTCTTAGGATGATCCAATCACTTGGATAAAAAAACATTTTTTGTGAATTTGTGTTGGGTACTTTGATCTAGTGAAAGAAAATACAAGTGTCTTGTTACATGATGGCCTTGAGTGTAAAATGTCATACACATGACAAACCATTTTAAAATGTATTAAATATAAATCTATCTAATAATATTATCTATACTGTCATGATTGAGATAGTAGGTCTTAATAACACTTATTCCCAAATAAACACTACTTTGTCATTAGTAAATAATTTATGTACTAACATAGAACTGCTACAAGCGTTTTTACACAAGCATCTCCTGTAAAGAAAATTGGCAACGGCTTATAAAAAGTTTGATAAAAAAAAAATATTTCAAGTAAAAAAGGTTTCTACTTCTAACATTGAGTAACTACCCTGCTGAAAAAACAGCTTAAACCAGCCTACACTGAAAAAAATGTACAAAATTAAGATATTTAAAAAAATAATAATAATAAAAAATGATTTAAAGATAATTCCTTGGATTTACAATTATTTCCTCGGATTTACAATTTTAAGGTAAATTTTTTTTTATTTTGGCTGAATTTAATCAATCAAATTAAATCAAACATTACTAAATGTTATTTATTTGTTTAAAATCAATCCGTATATATTGTTCACAACAATTTTGCAAAAATATTTTTTTGTGTGTGTAAGCTGGCTGGCTGGTTTTAGCTGATGGACCAGCCTGGTTTTAGAGGGATTTGGGCCATTTCCATGACCAGCCTGGTTTAAGCTGGACATAGCTGGTTTTGGCTGGGGTCCCAGCTTGGCTAGGCTGGTCAAGCTGGTTTTAGCTGGTCATCTCCATTTTTCCGGCAGGGTAATGCAAACTTACATAATAATGTGGTATGTGTAGTAGTATGTAATTTGTAGTACATACTACTAGTAACAAATAAATTATACCAGTACCAGCTAATGAAAAATGTGATTAAAAACAGTAGAGTTTAAAAAAAGTTATAAATATAATATAATAATATAAAATTAAGTATTACTCAATGGAAAAATATCTAACTAGTAACTAAAATTTAGTGCTAGCATGAAAGTACAAATACATTTTAGTTATTTTTTATGTTAAAATGGCTTGCCATGTGCAATGGAAAAGTTCAACCCTCTTCCCTTTTGTTATATGCCACTTTAGTTATCGTTAGCATTTTTGGCCAAACAGCCTGTAAGGATGCCATGGTTTTCATAATTGAAAGCTCAATATTGGAGAGCTGCCTTAACACAATCTAAAAAGGACTGTTTACATGAACCGGCCGGTGTAATTGTTAGTGCTGGAAACACTACCACAGCACTAGCGAGAGATAAAAGTCAGTAATTGCCGTTTTCACGCAAGGAAATTACGGTGGCGACAGAGACCTGGCAGGCCTCTGGTTCCTCCTGAACTGACAGTGGAGGTAAACAAGTCACGACGCTGACAGTCAAGACATTAAAGAGCCCTTGGACTCTGTGTTGCCAACACCCTGCAGGGGGTGCTGTGTGGGATCAGAGCCAATGAGGGGGAATTTGGTTATTATCTCAGTGCGAGCCGGCACTCAGAAGGAGCCAATGAAGCAAGCCTTCATTAACACCCTCTGAACACCAAGGCCTGCTGCATAATGCAACTTTTTAAAACCCATTTGTTTTGCATTACAAAACGGAGCCTTCTTTAAAATCCCATTTGTTATGAGTCACGCTGAATGACAACAGCGCAACACGTTGTTACCCTTCAGGAACTTGGCATTAAAGACCCTGCATTAATTCAATGAAGCAATGAGACTGCACTCTAATAGAACTCCGCTGTTCTCAGGTTTTAAAGAAAGGATGAGGCAATTACTTAAAAAAAAAGATGTCCTCAAATGTCTCTTTGACTGACGAAAAAGATAAAAGTTTCCCTGTTAGAATTAAAATATTCTCGTGTTTGTATTGATGTCAGAATGGACTTTTTTACAGAGCCTTTGTCTGTGAAAGAAACATTTGTACTGTGGCTGTTGTTGACAACACTAAAAGAGAACTGCTGTCCTAAAAAGCCAAGTTGCAAACATCTAAAAAAATACTTAAAAAAAGTCCTAATTTTGCATAGGTGGTCATTTTAATTTTTAACAGAATGTGCATTTAAAAAGAAACAAGTTGAAAAGTAAAGCCTATATACTGTACAAAGGCTATGGTTTGTTTTAATATAAAACAACTGCATGTTCTTTCAGAGTTCTTTTTTCATATACTATATTTTTTGTAATGCTATTAATATTTACACAGATTACACTCTTTAAAATAAAGGTTATTGTCTTTGAAGGTTCCATGAACATCCATAAAATATTTCCATTGAACGAAATTGATTGCAGAGAAAAAAATTGTTATTTTCAAAAATCTTTCCCTGAATGGTTCTTTGGGCAACCAAAAATCCGCATTCTATGGCAACATTTTGAATTTCAGAATCTTTATTTTTAAGAGTGTTTAAATTTTCTTTTGAGATATAATCTTACATTATAAATATTTATTGTATATATGTTACTATAGGGTTTGATGAAAACCAAATATTTGTCAAATCACAAAATTATAGAATTAATAAATATCAGCAGGATTGAAAAATTACACAGAATCAGAGGGTTACTTTTAAACTATTAAAACCCTAAAAAAAATTAAAAATCAGCTTATTAAGAATATATATATATATATATATATATATATATATTTTAAATTATTTACAAATTTAATTTAGGCTTTAAGTGCATATGAATTCTTAATATAGAGGGAGAAACAAAAACATTAAATGACTAAATGTGAATTCATAGTTCATGTCATTTAAGCATTTAAACATATCTACAGTTTAACAGCATAAAAGAAAAGTATGGTTCACCCAGAAAAAGCTATAGGAATTTTGTCAGCAGTTACGCAGATTTTCAATCATTCTTTTTTTACATGTTCCACTTTTTCACATAATCTTCATCGAGTTGTTTTTCGGTCTTATAAATATTCTGAGAATTGTCCAGCACCATGTCTAAAATACAATCCACCTGTCCTCCAACCTAATTATACAGTTAAGATAATAGCACAACAATCATGAGATTGATTCTATGGAACTCTAAATCTTCCAAAGACTCAACTAAATGCATAAATAAATGTTGTGAACTGTAAAAAGAAAGAATATTGGCTGAGGAACCATTTCCCAATTCCACACATTGCATTTCAACGATTCTGCTAACACAGTTATCCGTGTAATTTAGTGATGACACATGCAACATGACACTATCATTATTTTTACACCAGCTAGAGGGCATTTTACTTTAAAACGGTTGTAATAAGATGCTTGCACAAAAGACCTATTTGGTTGTTTTCTAGTGCACTGGTTCTCAATTCTGGCCCTTGCGGCCCCCCACACAGCTTAATTTATGTGTCTTGTGTTTAACACACCTAATTTAGATAACAAGCTCCAAGACTGTGTTGAGATCGACATGTTCCCTAAATTCATTGCTCTCCAAATCAACTTATCTTTAAGTTAGTTCATTAAAAATGTGAAAATATTTGAGCTACAACACTATTTGCAGCAATTTCAATCATTACAGAAATGTGAATCGTATTGAACCGTAATCATGTGATTAGCATAGAAGTCACGTCCTTGAATTCAACATGCACGGCAGAATATTCTGTGATGTCCACTTTGCAGGGCACTTATCAGCAAATGGAACAAACCTCTGAAGTGGTAAGAGAAACATACTAAATATACATTGCAGGAGGTGTTAAAGGAACAGGATTGAGAACTGCTGTTGAAGAGTATATAAGCAGTGCGACATGGCTAAAAGCAACAGAATCCACTATAATTAGTGATTCTTCTACATTGGATTCTGCACGACACAGACTCACTCTATTTCCATTCAAGTGCCATTGACATTCATTTTGAAACTTTAAAACAGTGTTGCTCAAAACTGTTGCTTAAGGCACACCAGCACTTCACATTTAACTCTTCCTAATCAAAAACACCTGAACTGACTCATCAGAACATTAGAAAAAACTCCAAAACCTGAAATGAACGGGTCAAACAAGGAAGACATTTCCAAAATATGAACTGTTAGTGTGCCCCCAGGAACAGGGTTGGGAAACACTGCTTTAAACTGTGTGTTTCTTGGTTGGAGCTTCAAACATCGGTGTCCAGAGGAGGTGATCTGTCCACACAAGGCGACAAAGAGTCCTGACTGTGAGTTGAGCTTATTCCAGTGTCTGAGTCTGTATCCGTCACATCTGCAGGTGAACAAGTCTGTCTGACCTTGCCTGTTGCCTGCTCAGAGACAGTGGCCCTGATCTGGGTCTTCAGAGATGCAGGGTTTGGCTGGTCTGGACAGGCCCCCACCTCAAGTGCACCAAGTTCTGCAACAAGATGCTGGTATTCTTGGTTCTGGGACTGCAAGAATGTTTTGTTCCGCTGCAGTTCCTTCTCAATATCCTGCATTTGGGAATGAAGGGAAAGTCCAGCTCTCATGCTTGTCTCAAGTTCTTTGCGTAAGTTTTCCAGCTCAAAGAGATCTGTTGAGGACAACGAGAGGTTTGGTTCTCCATCTAGTTCTGGACAAGCAGCAGCTGCACCTTTAAAATCTTCCAAATCAGAAGTCCAGCTCCTCAGCTCCACGTCTATATCTTGAGAGAGCTGGTCAATGAGTTCTTGGTGTATGCGAACATGTAGATCCAGTTGCTCGATTCCATCGCTGGTGTATAAATACTCCTGAAAATGGTTGTCAAAATGAGACGGTCCGTCATCACTTTCTGTGATGCTTGAGCGAGGTGTTGGGCTGCTCATTTGTTCCTCTGCATGTTCAATCTCCAAATCTAGCTCACGCATTTGGTGGATCTGCTGCCGGATAGTCTGATCCTGAGAGATGATCATCTGCATAAGCTTGTTAATCTCCTCAGAGCCTTCTGAAGTATCTCCTTTCTGGATCTTCTCCAACTTGCGAAAGGCTTTCTTCACCATTCGTTTTTGCTTCTCTGCTGATACTGTCTTGGCGTACTGTGCAGGTCCTTGGTCCCATCTTTTAGACCTCGCTCCTCGAGACTTTGATGCCCTTTTGGCTCCCTTGGATGATGGCACAAAATCACTGATCTTCATAAGGACGAACTTTATGAAAGGTTTCTCATCGCCCCATGCGTTCCACAGCCGGAGGATTCGAGTGAGAGGCGGCAGTGCCCTCTCAAAACCCTTCCACCTCTCCAGGATACAGAAGTCTTTAGGTTCCCCATGTAAAAGCCTTTTACTTTCTGGTATGGTCTTGTGATCCTCCAGTAAAGCCTTGACTATGTCTGCACAGGTTGTGTGCTTGGTCACACCACAGACTACTTTTTCTTCTTGACACACAAGCACCTGGATTTCCTTCCCTGGTGTCTCCTCTACCACTTTAGACCTGGTAAAGAAATATACCAAATGTTTATTATTTTTATAATGATTATTTTCATTATTTACTGCCACACCAGAAATGTATGGCTATTTCATTGCAACATTAAATATATATAAATTGTTTGTACATAATAACATTAAATTAATAGTTCATTAAGTGATGATGCAAATAGTACATTAATAAATATAAACTTTTTATAATAAAACACTATATATATAATTTTTAAGTCAAGTATTTTCAAATGCGGTGAAATACAATTTTTTATGCTTCAACAGTTTTAAGCTTCATTGGTAGTGCTTACTTCTGATGACAGATTTATGTTTATAGCTCAGATTAACTGACACAATAAATGGCTGACATTATTCAGATGAGAAGACGTCTGCATGACAAATGTTTCATCGCTTCAATTATCTGTAGTGATTATGAGTTGCGGTTTCACAATTTTCTACTCCACTCAGGGCATAACATTACATATGACTAATAACCTTCCCTGTTTAAAATAATCAGAAGACAAATTACAAACTATTAAAAGCTTAAATTAATTTGAAAAACAGGTAGTGTTAATCAGGAATAAATCTAAAACCCCGTTTATAACTCTTTTTTTAATTAAAAGATAAAGCTAAATTAATTTACTTGGTTATTAATTTAAAAACTATATATGTGAACTAGTACTAAAACCACAAAAACTAAAAAAAAAATAATTATAATCTTTAAAAAACCAAATGCAAACATGCACTAAAATAATAAATGTAAAATATGAAATAAATAAAAATAGCAAACTAATAATAAAAGTTAAATCAGGACAGACAGACAGACAGACAGACAGACAGACAGACAGAACAAGAAAATGATGGATGGATGAAACAATAAAATGATGGATGGATGAATGGCCAAAATGATGGATTGCTGGAACAATAAAATGAGGGCTGGATGGAACAATAAAATTATAGATGGATGGATAGATTGAATAAAATGATCGATGGATGGATGGAACAATAAAATGATGGATACAGAAATGGATGGAACAAAATGATGGATGGAACAATAAAATGATGGATAGAACAATATAATGATGAATAGATGGATGGAACAATAAAATGATGGATGGATGGATGGGTGGATGGATAGAACAATAAAATGATGGATGATGGATGGAACAATAAAATAAAGGCTGAATGGATGGAACAATAAAATGATGAATGGATGAATGGAACAAAATGATGGATGGATGGATGGATAGATAGAACAATAAAATGATAGATGGATGGATGGAACAATAAAATGATGAATGGAACAAAGTGATGGATGTATGGATGGATGAAAGGATGGAACAATAAAATGATAGATGGATGGACGGAAAAATAAAATGATGGCTGGCTGGCTTGATGGATAGAAAATAAAATGATGGATAGATGGAACAATAAAATGATGGGTGGATAGATGCATGTATGGATAGATGGAAAATAAAATGATGGATGGATGAAACAATAAAATGATGGCTGGATGGAAAGATTGATAAATGGAACAATAAAATGATAGATGGATTGATGGATGGATGGAACAATAAAATGCTGGATGGGTAGATGGATGGGACAATTAAATTATGTTTGGATGGATGGATGGAACAATAAAATGATGGATAGATGGATGGATGTAACAAAATGATGCATGGAACAATAAAATGATAGATTGAATGATGGAACAATAAAATGAATGATGGCTGGAACAATAAAATGAAGGATAGATGGATGATGGATGGATGGATAGAACAAAATGATTGATGGATGGATGGATGGATGAAACAATACAATTATGGATGGATGGAATAATATGATGGAGGGATGTGTGGATAGATGATGGATAGAACAATAAAATGATGGATGGATGGAACAATAAAATGATTAATGTATGAATAGAACAAAATGATGGATGAATGGATGGGTGGATGGATGGAAGGAAGGAAGGAAGGAAGGAAGGAAGGAAGGAAGGAAGGAAGGAAGGAAGGAAGGATGGAACAATAAAATGATAGATGGATGAATGGAAAAATACAATTTTGGCGGGCTGGCTTGATGGATAGAAAATAAAAAATGGATAGATGGAACAATAAAATGATGGATGGATGGAAAATAAAATGATGGATGGATGGATGGATGGAAATAATATGATGGATGGATGTGTATGTGGGTAAATAGATGGAAAGGTAGATGGATAGTCACATTAGAAAGGTAGATAAATGAATAGACAGACAGACAGACAGACAGACAGACAGACAGACAGACAGACAGATAGATAGATATAGATAGATAGATAGATAGATAGATAGATAGATAGATAGATAGATAGATAGATAGATAGATAGATAGATAGATGGATAGATATGTAAAGGGTGACGACCACCATTTTAATGAATGACCTCGTAGGAATGCAATATACATGCAAGAATGCAGTTGGTTGGTTAATATTTAAAAAAAGCACCTACTTATACTCTACACGAAAGTAAATAGTTCAGCTATTTGCATAGCAGACCACTCGATACAGTGTTAGTAGTATATAAATTACAAAAGCAATGCGATTTTGTAGCCCTAGTCAATTGTAATAGCCTGACAAAGTTAAAAGCTCACTGCAAGATTGTATGACATCTAACATTTACTGTATAGAAGGTTATTTTTAACAGCTAATCCCACCTGTGCCATGACATCACTGGCATGACATCATAATGGAAGTGTGAAACCCTGGCATTTACATAATAAGCAAGTAAAAGTATACAGTAGCTTGTCCACACATGTCAGACGCATTGAAACAGACAATATGCTACTTTACAGCACAATACAAGCATTCACGCAGACTTAACAATGCATTTCTTGGCTTGTTATACAATTTTGATCCATTTAAAGAGTCTGAATAGTGTGCAGTGGGAAATCGATATTGTTTTCATGTAGTGGTCTGTTCTATTTAGTCTTTTCCAAAATTGTCATGAGTACAGGAAACAAATGAAGGGGGGATGGAAGCACCTGTGTTTGTCTTTTGGGAAAATCAATGGTGACCAGCAACATCCTGTTACATACATCCTGCCAACAAGTTCATGTACTGTGAGGCAATGGAACATAATGAATTCCATTTTATAGATGCAGCCTACTCCAAACTAATGGAGAAAAGCAAACAGTCTGGAGTTTGTGGATTAAAGGTTAAAAGGGTGATAATGGTAACCAAATATTTTGTCTGACACTACTGGTCAAAAAGTTTGGGGTCAGTAAGATATTTAAATGTTTTAAAATTAGCTTATCCTGCTCATCAAGACTGCATTATTTAATCAAAAATACAGTACAAATTGTAAAATTCTGAAACGTTATTGCACTATAAAATAACTAGTCAAAAGTAATTTATAATCTAATAATGTATTGCAGTGATTTTAAAGATGAATTTTCAGCTTTATTAGTCCAGTCTTCAGTTACATGATTCTTAAGAAATCGCTCTAATATTAATTATTATTGTTTTTAATATTCTTAATAATAATATTATTATTGTTAATGGTAATATTAATAAAAGAAATGAGTAATAATGGAGTAATAATTTCATTTGAAACTACATAAAATAAGTAATGAATATATATTTAATAAATAAATATTTAACAATTGTTTTTACATTTAATAAATGCCGTCTTGATGAATAGAATGGCTGTCTGAAATTGCATACTTCCATACTATAGTATGCTAAAATCAGCAAACGAGCCGAGTAGTATGTCAAATTCTTCAATTTGAAAATCAGTATGCAAGAAGAACCTACTACTTCCGGCGGGATTCTGAAGTGCGCATCATATGTACGGTGGGCTATCCCATGATGCCCCGCGAGAGAATTCATGAGCGAAGCGACGCTACTCACACGGGTAGGTTACGTGATCATGACAAAATGGTGGATGTAGTACATCCGAGTTCCATTTATTCTGCTCACATTTATACTGTATAACATACTTCTCTAATGGCCGAGTAGTATGTTTAAATTCAAATGCAGTACCTACTGAGTAGTAGGCGGTTTCGGACGCAGCCTATGTTTTTTTTCATTGACTTGCTCATACATTTTATCAATGTTTAAGGACTACCGGTTAAGCCAACAGGTTTGCTTAACCCTTTGGGCCTGTTTCATGTTTTGAAATTGTAAATGCTTCATTGGAATAGGATGAAATAGGAGTTTTTTTGTCACATCAGATATGATCGTGCTCCACTATCATCCTTTAAAAATTCAATCCAGTTATTAGTACAAAATCACTGTGCTTGTTTTTAGTTCCCTGGTTTTATATATTATTATATGCATTTTTAAAAAAAGGTATTCTATTGTGTCTCTGCTGCTTTGTACTGTATCTGCTTTTTACGTTTCCTCTTGGCCAAGTCATCATTGTAAATGAGAACTGGGTCTTAATTGACTTACCTGGTTAAATAAAGGTTATTATAATTTGTGAGCAAGCAAAAAAATCATGGACATGTTTGGAACATTGTAAGGGGTAAAAAAAAAGTCGCACTTGCTCCTTCATAGTTAAAAGTGACTGTTTACATGGACACCAGTAATCATTATTTTCCTTAATCTGAATAAGACGATATATGATTAAGTAGTAATGATTAATTATGATATGTGTTTACATAAGTTGCTTTTTGAATGTTCCTTTCATGATCCCGTTTTAGCACATATTTCGATTAATGGCATTATGTGAATTCACCTTTTCTTCCAGAGTTTCATGTAATTTCGGGTATTTCATTTTTAATTTGTCGACTTTAGCTGCAGTTTGGCATTTTTATTTAAGAACATTTTATGCACACCCCCTGTGACAAACGAGATATTGGATGCAAGTATGAACAGCTGGAAGAGTGTAGTTTCAATGGAATTTGATACTACCGCACAACATATGGGGAAAAAAAACTGCACACTTCAAGATGCAGGTGTCTGTGGTCCTTCACTGACTCGGTAGGTGCAGAGAATAGTGTCAGACGGACGTGTGTATTTAGACTATCTTGTCA